AGCCCCGCCCCCACCCTAGCTGTTTCCATGGAGACGGGGCGCGGCGCGGCTGGTGCGTTCTCTCGCCCCGTCCCCGGGGGAGGAGCCAGACCTTTGGGCCCCGCCCCTCCCCACGTGACCATCATCATAGTCGCGTCGCCCCCGGAGCTGCCAATGGGAGTAGTGCGGGGGGAGTGGGGCTGGTGGGGTCTGGGGACACCAGTGGGACCAGTGGCTGGCTACTACTGAGACCCGTGAGGGCCTGGATATACCAGTGAAACCAGCAACCAGCTACTATTGGGACTAATAAGGACCTGGGAAGACCAGTGACACCAGCACCTGGGTGCTACTGGGACCAGTAAGGGGAAGAGCAATGGGACCAGCATCTAACTGCTGCTGGTGCCAGTAAGACCTTGGAAATGCCAATGAGACCCATAACCATCAGCTCCTGAGAGCAATAAAAGGCCTAGGAAGACCAATGAGACCAGCAGCTGACAGATAATGGGACCAGTGACCAGAAGATACCGGGACCAGTAAGAGCCTGGGGACACCGATAAGACCTGTAATCAGCAGCTACTGGAAGCAGTAAGAGTCCTGGAAATACCAGTGAAACCAGTTACCAGGTGCTGCTGGGACCAGTGACCAGAAGATACTGGGTCCAGTAAGGGGCCTGTGAGAGCTGCTGGGACCTGTGACCTACTCCCACTCTGCCCCCCAGCAGCCCCCAGTCCTCCCAGTCTCTGCCTGGCACTGGGACCAGTCTGGGGCTGCGGGTCTGGTGGCGGGGGGCCCATGGAGACACCTGCACCCGGCACGGAGCCCCCCATTCTGCCAGCAGGTGAGGGGCTGCAGGTTGGGAACGGCATTGCAGGGTGATGCGGGCTGCAGGTCAGGAGTGAGGGGCACCGTGGGTGTACAGGAGGGGCTATGAGTTGGGAGTGAGGGGCACCACAAGGCTGGGAGGGCTGCAGGTCAGTCGTTGGGGACATTGTGGGGAGATGGGGGGGGTTGTGGGCCAGGAGTGAGGGACATTGTGGGGTGATAGGAGAGGACTGGGGGTTGGAAGTGTGGGGCCTGGGGAGCTGTACTGACGCCACCA